ATAGATTAGACTTAAATTGAAACATAAAGATGGCAACATTTTTTGTATGTATATCGAAAATAATAGTGTGTTGGATGAGACAAATAATGGAGCAGAAGGATGAAGGTAATGATCATTGGCACTAAGTGCCTTTTTTGTAGAATACATATAAGATTCAGATTTGAATTTGCAGTATAGATACTCAAATTAATCAATGGAAGCACAAAATTAAATTAAATTAAATTAATTAAATTAGAAAATTGACTCAATTGTAAGTTTACTATCAAAAGTTTTTTAGAATGAAAGGATTCCAAAACATTGAGACAAAAAAAAAATTAAAAATAAAAAAAAAAACTGCAGCGATCTCAAGCCTTGGTGCAGAGATAACGAAATCTTGAGCGTTGCTTGCAGTGGCGGTGCTACAGAGAATGGGAGCTGGCCCCCCCCCCCACCTTCGGGGAGAAAAAATGTATATGTATTTTCTACATATTAGTAGACCCAAAATTGATTAAATAAGCCTTTAAAACCCCTAAATTGTCATATTTTTTCAGAGGCTTTGTCCCCATGGATTACTTACGAGAGACTTCAAGCGACGCCCGACCACAGCCATTTTTTTCATCCCCGTCGGGGACCTCAAAACCCCCCATTGGGCAAATCCTGGTGCCAATACTGTTGGATCCATGCACAGCAACATAAAAAAAATAACCAGATCTCAGGGAAGTTACTCCTTCCAACTTGGGACCACTGCAATCAGTATGATTGCCCCTATGAGAGTCTCATTTCATATTTTTGCTTGAATTATGAAAATAAGATGATTTTTTTGTGCTAAGTAAGTATGGTAAATCCCAACCTCAAGGTCAGGCTTTCGGTGAGATTGTTTAATTCCTGAAGCAACGAGCCTGCATGCTCCTAACAATATGGGGGCAGATTCCTCTAAACCCCAAAGCTGCAGCCTGGCATATTCCGTAATATGCATCCCATAACAAGTGTACTTTTGGTCATACTGTACCTACCTCTCCCCTCCCCTTCCCTATTGTTAAACACCCGGATAAAAATTTTTACTGTACCATGTCGATTGTCAATAATAAATGTTGCTTGTTTGATTCCTCAATTTCTTGGAAAATGTGTTATAATTGGAAAATCCAGGGGATTATTCCAGTATTGAAAGATCATGAAAGGGCCAAGGTTTCATATGAAGAGGAAAATACATTTGTATGAAAATAAACCTCAATTGATTGGGGAGAAAAAAATGTTTAGGTCCTGTGTATTCCCTACATTATAGTACTGTAGACCGAAAATTGTTTAAATAAGCCATTGAAACCCCTAATTTGTCATATTTTTTCGGGGGCTTCATCCCCATGGACTACTTTCAAGAGATTTCAAGCGAAACCCGACCACAGCAACTTTTTTCGTCGGGGAAATCGGATCCCCCCTCCCCCTGTTGGGCAATTCCTGGTGCCACCACTGTTTGATCCATGCACAGCAACATAAAAAAAATAACCAGATCTCAGGGAAGTTGCTCCTTCCAACTTGGGACCACTGCAATCAGTATGATTGCCCCTATGAGAGTCTCATTTCATATTTTTGCTAGCATTATGGAAATAAGATGATTTTTTTTTGTGCTAAGTAAGTATGACAAATCCTAACCTCTAGGTCAGGTTTTCAGTCTTACCCTGTGCATTTTGCTTGTGTCTTTGAGCAAGGCACTTTATAGCTACATTGCTTCAGCCTACCCGGCTGTATCAGTGGGTATTTATGTACATTTAATTGTTTGAGACAAATAAATGAAATGAAATGAGCAAATTGTTGGGAGTGAGTGACCTGTGGAGCATTGCACTCTCTTCCGCTTCACACTACAGAAACTGGGGATTATAGCTCCATCCTTATTTCAGGTATTCTAACAATGTTCACGTTCAAATACTGTGAAGCCTTACACTTTCGGATCTGAAATGAAAACTGATACCAGTGGTTTTCCTGTTTATTTAAGTTTTACCTGTTTTTATAACCTCAATAGTGCACGTACAGCTTAGCTCTTTTATACTATTCAGTTTAGATTTTAGTAGACTTTTGGTTGTTTAACTTGCAGGACTTTATATCATCAATCAATCAAGCAAGCAATATAAAAGTGCCCAAGTTTAAATTGTATATATCTATATTCATTTGAATTAATGAATGTAAATTAATCAAATTGTTAAGATGTTAACAATTGTACTGAGGGAAGTATTTTACAATTTATCATTTGGAAATTGATTTTAAACGTAATCAATTCAACACATCATTTGCTATGATTTGAACACTATATATTATGGTCAGATTGTTTAATTCTTGAAGCCAGAGCCTGTATACTACTAACAATACATACTAGGGTAGTATCCTTACACCCCAAGGCCGCAGCCTGGTATATCCCATAAATATGCATAGCAAACAAGTACTTTTGGTCATAGACCAACAACCCCCCACTGGTCAGATTATTTAATTTCTGAAGCCACAAGCCTGCATACTCCTTAACAATATGAGGGTAGGATCCTCCAAACCCCAAAGATGCAGTCTGGCATATCCCGTATTATGCATTCCCATAACAAGTGTTCTTTTTGTCATATACCTACAGTACCTCTTCCCTCCCCTTCCGTGTTGTTAAACACCCGGTTAAAAATTTGTACTGTACCTTGTTGTATTGTCGATAATAAATATTGCTTTTTTGATTCCTCAATTTCCTGGAAAATGTGTTGTAATTGGAAAATCCATGGGATTATCCCAGTATTGAAGGGCCAAGGTTTCAAATCATGAAGGGGAAAATACATTTATCTGAAAATAAAATTAATGATGATAGCAGATTTGGATTTTTGCATGTGGTATGTGGCCTACTCACATGAGCAGGCCCGGTTTCGATTTCCAAACAATACATTGGCAAATTTCTTCCTGTTTCGGATTCATTGGACTTGTGAAATCACTGAATGAATGTTTCTGCATTATTACATTGATGGTATGTACAAGTATTTCCTTGTTTAAAAACTAGGTCTTGTGTTTGTTCCATAATACAAAATCTCCTTCCTATAAATTTAAATTTAAAGAATAATCAAAAAGTCATTACTCAGTTTCATATTTGATTTTAAAAAAAAGAGCAAAATTGTATATACAGTGGTTTGAGCAGGGCTACTCACTGTGCCTGACCACCATTTTTGTTCAAACATGAAAAGAAAAAAGGAAATTTATCTTGAAATACAATTCGCCCTCCGATTTGAGACTATTTGAGGCATGTTGTGGCGAAATGGTAAAGTTGTCGCACAGTCCAGTATTGAGTAAATGAGCTATAAAATATGGGAGCTCAAAAAATTGCTAAAAAATCCAAATTTGTTTTTTACTATAGGTCAACAGTTTAATGTCTTATTAATCATGTCTCAAAGTATTATTTCTGGAAGTGGTTAACAAATTGTTTATTTAACATTATTTTTCATAGTCCTGTTTATCTTGACTCTAAGAGTACTGTACTTTCACTTTCCAATAACTTTGGTTTGAAATGTCCAATTTGAATGAATGACCCCTCATTTTAAAGATCACATACTCAGGTATTTGAAAATACCAATAACTTGAATTTCAATTTTTGCTACAACTTAACTATTTTGCCACAACATGCCTCATTTTGAGACCTGAAAATTTGGGGTGGCCTCGGGGTTCGGTATCCAATTAGAGAGGTAACTTTGTGTTAAAAGGTTGAAGATTGTTATTTGGGTCTTTGGAAATGTGGTCTTGAATTAGAAGGGTCTCAGAATTAGAGGGTGCATTGTATATGGCAAAATAATTAGTTACTTTAGATGTTAACAACCAATATATGGTGTTGTCATAGCTATTTTTCTTGTCATTTATTTTGTCTGTTAGTGTCTCTGGTGCGATTCGAATCAACCCCCACTCTTTTGTTAAAATTAATACTCGCCATGTTAATTTTAAGTTCAAGCACGCATTTGCGAGAATTAATTGTTTTAAATACACTTCGCCCTCCAATTCGAGACCAACCTTGGGACCTGGAAATTTGGGGTGGTCTTGGGGTTGGTCTCCAATTAGAGGGCTAGCTTTGTGTTAAGAGGTTGAAGATTGTCATTTGGGTCTTTGGAAATGTGGTCTCAAATTAGAGGGGTCTTGGAATTAGTGGGGTCTCGAATTAGAGGGTGCACTGTATATAATTTTAAATTTATTTCTTAGACTTTTGGATATCTGTACCCTCTGAGCTTAACGATATCTTTCTCAACAACCATAAGCTGTTTCTATCCTGCTTAATGAGACACAGGCAAACTAATGACAAAAAATGTTATATTTGATACAAATTTATTAGAGCAATTATTAGAGTAATTTTATCATTTTTTTGTTTCTTTTATGTTTCTGTTTATCGGTTTGGAGAGCCACTTGACAGTATTTTAGTATACTTTTGATTATCCTGTCTTGCTGATTTACAAAACATTTTTTGTGTGTATATACTTTTATTGAGACAAAATAAATAAAAAATAAAAAGTGAAATAGATATGCTCCGTCCCTGGTATTGCTCCTTGTGTAAAGTTCAGTAGTTATGCGCAGCAAACTTTGTTTTCAAAATCTGGATACGGCAATGTTGGTATATTTGCATTTTAAACAAATATGGTATGAAGCCGCATTCACACTGGATCCGAATCAATGTGATATTTCCATGCAGCACCTCCATTTTCTAAGTCCTGGATACGCCACTGGTATATTTACCAATTAAACAGATGTGGTATAAAGATGCATCATATCAGACTTCAACCAAAATTCAGACCGTGTTTCCAATGCACTGAACGCCAGCTTCCCTATTCTTACGTAATATCGCCAGCGTCCCTATTCTTACATACTGATCCGATTTTCTAATCGGTTTCGTAAGCTTTCCGATCCAAAATATGGATTTGGTATGAATGCACAATTCTAAAAATTAGTTTTAATGGAATCCATAATTGAATTCTAATTTTTGTTTTTATCATATTTTAATTGTTTTTCTTTCTTTTGTTTATGCTATTTAGTCACCAGACGGGTTGGACTGCTGTTGTAGTGAACTGCCTGGAAAGAGTTTGTAAGAGTTAGGTTGACAACACTGGCAAGAAATCAGAACAAGGTTGATAGCAATACTGTCGAATAGCAGTCTTTGGCTAAGGCTTTGACAATCATAATGATTAAGGTCTGTCTCTTATACACATCTAGATGTGTATAAGAGACAGAGATCANGCCTATTAGTTGCTTTAGTCAGATTTTGAATTCTCAACAAAGCCTCAATGACCGACTTGGGTAAGACGTCAGCATGGGCGGCAAAAGTCATATTATATACAGCATATCAAGTACCGTATTATACCTACCATTACAAGGATTTTGTTCACTCGTGTAAAGATGACGGTATCATTGTGGAAAGTCGATGTAACACTTAGCATGCATCCTATCTCTTCTCTATTCTTATTGGTGCATCTGTTCATAATCTGTTTTCCAACTGGGCACAATTATGCTATATGATATAATGAGGAAATGTAGAGTGTTTTTTTAAGCACTGTAAAGGTAATAATGAAGATTTTCTGATATTTATATTGGACCAAAAACTGCTATTAGATTGATTGACTTCCCATCGCAAGAACATTGAAAAGCAAACAATTAGCCATCTAACTATTAAGGCTTATGATGTATAGGGAAATATGATGGTAGATTGTATTGAGTTTTAGTTACTGGGTGGTATCATTGAGTATATGAAATAATAATTGAATAGGAATCATGATAATAAGATATTTTTACAAGAAAAGCATTTGGTACCGTAATAGGGTGCGTTTTAACATTTGAGAAAAAGAAATACCATAACTTTCACATCCAGCTTGTACAACCGGGCAATCATAACGATGTACAGCGGACATATGTCCGTCGTATGGCGATTCCAACTGCGCTGCCTGCGAGCACTAGACAACGCGACGCTGTCTGCTGATTGTCGATGGCAGTCTTCAGCGCTTCGTAACTGAAAAGAAAGGCGCTATACAAGTAACAGTTAACAAGCCTGAACGGATCGCCATTAAAAAGGCGTTGCGTTCTCCATAGAATCACGTTGGCTGATGACTGTCATGTGCATTGAGATGTCAATCAAACTTAACAATTGACCAATCAGAACAGGGCCAGGCATATGCGGTTGTCACACAAACACGTGTTGTCCCACAAATTTACTCTATTGTTTTATGGGACCACAGCAACAATATCCAATGAATGATGCTCCATATAAACTACTGTAATTCTCTTTATGAAGCTTTTGGGTGTAGAGTTGTTTTTATTTCTTATATTCATATTCTGTTTATTGCTGAAACATCACAAACAGTTGTGTGAAAAACAGTTGTATGAAAATCCCCTACCTTGTTTAAATCAAGGATATGGTGTAATCAGTTATTCAACTCTACTCCCAGTACAAACTTAAAAACTTCAAAGGCTCTACATTTGACTTGTAGTCAGTTAATCAGGAGTAGGCTGTGCAAAACGAAACGAAACAAGAACGAAATTAACATTGAAAACTATCAAAGCAAAAGTAAAAAGACAGACAAAACAAGCCAGCTCACACAAGCACAAAATGTGTTAGGAGATATTGTAATGACCTTTCTGAGTCGCTTCAGAAGTTAGGATCAAATTGAATTTAAACAAAATGCTGGAAGTAAACTCTTTGAAACTACTGTATTAAAAAGTGGGTACATGCTTTCTCAGTTGTATAAATATAATTTGATGAAGATTCATCTATCCAGGATTTTATTAGTATATAGTACCAACGATATAATTACGAAGTCGTCCCCTAAGCTCAACCATAATAAGCTGCAGTTGTGCCCTTAGCCTATGAAAGCCCTAAATTGTCATTTTTATCGGGGGCTTCGCCTCTTGGATTACTTTCGCAACATTTTGAGCGACGCATTTTGACTTTTTCTTTACTTCCCCCCCCCCCCCAGATTTCAGACGCTGGCGCCGCCACTGGGCATTAGTTATTTAAAATATTTAACACATTTTTTTTTTTTGAAAGACCAAACACGCCATTATAATTATTTTTATTGCCGCTTCGTCGGGTGCATTAGTTAATTCAGGGAACAGTGAAATTAATTTCACTGTTCCCTGGTTAGTTCAATTGCTCTCATATCTGTATTGTTTATGTAACTTTTATATTCGCATACAAAAGCAACATAGGTTTGTACGAGCGAATTCCCATGACTTTACACTAAACTTTACCATCAACAACTTAAAAACATGTATTATGGTAATAAGTCCATTTGTTAAGCAATAATAATAGTCAATTCATTCATTTGTGAAGTGTTACCTAAGATACTGTATAAACAGCTAAAGCAAAAGCATCGGCCGATGATATTCTTTTTAGTTAAAAAAAGGAACCAAATAGGCCTACTTTCGGGTAGGGCATGTCTCCTATTTAATTTCCTGTTGAATTGTGATAATAGATCAATATACGCATGAAGGAAACGGGCAGAAAGGAGTTATGGTTCTATTCAGCGCAAATGTAGCACTGAATATTCTATTAAAAAAAATCAGAATAATTTCCTTATTTTGTAAGGTATAAGAACCTGTTTTAGTTTATATAATTTCACTTGCTTTAATATAGATATGTAGCCATACACACAGTGAACTGTAACAGGAGTGTTGATAAAACTTTTATTTAAGGTGTCACCCGCCCACCCACTTCTGATTTACTGATCGTTTTTCCTAACTTCCCAACCAAATGGACCTTCCGGAGTGACGACCAAACTCAACAACTGACCAATCAGAACGTCTTATGGTTAGGGTCAGGAATAATTAGTTATACTGTATCCCACAAAACACGCAAGTTGCGTACATTTACGCCGAGAGCTTAGTAACAATATCCAAGGGGCGGGGCTTAGCGGAAATGTTAATTATTTATTTTAAAATTTGCTTATAACAATATTACGAAACGTTTACATTCATGTTATATGATGTAGTTTGTTTCATAGTTCATTGTATTTAGTTGATTTAAATATATATATCTGATTTGATAGTGACATTATATTATGCAATCATAATGCATAATAGCTATACGTCTAATTTTGATATAATATGTATATGCTGGGTTTATTTCAGGGTTGTTTTTTTAAGGTATAGTACTTAAATTATAAACTTTATATAATTACAGTTTATAAATAAAATACCATTAATCGGTGATCCTTGTCAAGTATATCTATATTATTCTAGAAGCAATTTACAATAATTATACTATTACAAAATAATAATAATAATAATAATAATAATAATAATAATAAGAATAAGAATAAGAATAATAATGATGATGATGATGATGATGACGATAACGATGATGACGATGACGATGATGATGACGATGACGTTGACGATGACGACGATGACGACGACTATACTTTGGTCCCGCAAAGTGGCACGGGAGATGCAGCGCGTTCGGGAGCACGTCCGTCGCCCTGCAGGATCCGCAAGGACCGCCGAGCGGTGGTTCGTGCCTCCGGCGCAATGGAAACACCCCAGCATATAAGGCCTAACGTTAATAGATTTCCATGGTGCCGTGTATCGTGCGTGCGTATAGGCCTACACGTGGCCTGCATTCTAACTACCAAAGTTAAAAAAATTATAGCAAGTAACAGGTCTCCTTCTAATTAAAGACCCCTCCTATTAAAGAAAACCTCCAATTATAGAACACTTTTTCTGTGGTTCCAGATAAAAAAATCTTTTATCTTTATTACTCTAATTATAGACCAAAGCTGCTAAAGATCATAAGCACCCTGGCCCCAATGTGGTCTGTAATTGGAAAGAGACCTGTACGGTTTTAAGTTAATTGCAAGACACAGAGATCAGAATAATTATATTTTTGACACGCATAGACTCATGACAATTTTAAAATCAACATTTCCAAGAAGGCTTGATATGAGCTATACTGATTACAAATAAATGATTAACTTTCATTATTTCATATTAATGCCGAAGTATGTGCTTACACATTTTATTTAGTGCTACCACCAGCGCATGTTCGCTATTTAGTCGTATGAACCGCTTGCAAAACAATAACAGCGCTTGAACAACTGAAAAAAAGTAACCATGAAATTTTGTTCAGATGTCAGTGGATAGGCCTATATGATTGACCGCCCTTTAATTCAATTACCGCTAAATTCAAGGATTCTCAACTATTACTATTACTTGCTATGTATAGCGAGCGCTTAGGTCTATTTCTTGCAGTAAGAAAGCGCTAACTACCTTCGACTAATGAATATTTTCCCCAACTAAAACCAAAAGAATGTTTTCATGAGTCATAGACCAAAGTAAATTAATGATAATAAAGAATTAAAATGTTGTGGATGCAAAAACTACCAAACCAAGACCTAACATGACATAGCCTAATAATTTATAACACGCTCAGAGTTTGCCATTTAAACTGATATCAACACAACGTCAGTTTATAGCTCACTTAAAAAAAACTGAAAACTATGGCGGTTCTGCACTTTTTAATTAAAAAAATATCTCCATTAAAAAAAAAAAAAAAAAAAAAAAATCAGCACAACGTCAGTTTGTAACTCACTTAAACAATACTGAAAACTGTGGAGATTCTGCGTTTTTAAGTTAAAAAATCCCACCATTAAAAAAAACAAACAAACATCCGTTTACTGCCCGTGCATTAAATTCTATTTTCTCAAGCCTCGTACTTCAGAAGACTTGTTTATATGAACGATGATTTATGGCAGTTCTTTTTTAGCCCATCTGTTTGGCAAATGTTTGATATTGCTGGCATTATTGGTCCCCGTGCTTCAAAGCGTTCCTCCGTAGGTCTATTTTCTTCCGATTTCGGTTCTTGGAGCTTCATAACATTTAAAAATTAATACAAGTGATTGCTCAGAAACTTTCAAAGAAAATACTTTAACGTAGAGTTACCTGGGTACCGGTAGTACAGTAGTTTATTTTGAAAACAAACCGTTTTCACAATGGGAGTTTGTTTCTCTGACCTGTTCGAGGGAATACTGCGTACCCTGGGAAGAGGACAGAAGAAGGAGGGCGAAGAGTTAATCGTTGAAGTGGATGATAACGTAGAAGACGACGTGACAGAGGATGTGGAAAATGGAATTGAAGGAATTGCAAAGGAAAACGAAGAAAAGAAAGAGGAAGAAATTGACAAATATGAGGAAGAAAAC